CACACGCACACGCACAGCACACGCACACGCACACGCACACGCACACGCACACGCACACGCACACGCGCACGCGCACGCACACGCACACGCACACGCACACGCACACGCACACGCACACGCACACGCACACGCACACCCACACGCACACGCACACGCACACGCACACGCACACACACGCACACCCACACACACACACACACACACCCCCGCGGATGCGCGCGCACGCGCACGCGCACGCGCACGCGCACGCGCTTGCGCACGCGCACACAAACACACAAACAATCACACACATACATACACATACATTCACATACCTACACATACAGACATACACAAATACACATACACACACACACAGACACGCAGACACACAAAGAATGACACAGACACACAGACACACACACAGACACACACACACAGACACACACAATCACACGAACACACACGCAAACACATGCACACATACATACATACACACATACACACATACACACACAGACACGCAGACACAAATAATGACACAGACGCACAGACACACACACAGACACACACACAGACACACACAATCACACAAACACACACAAACACATGCATACACACATACGTACATACATACATACATACACACACAGACACACACACAGAAACACACACAGGCACACGCACAGACACACACACAGACACACACACAGACACACACACAGACACACAGACACACACACAAACACACACACAAACGCACACAAACACACAAACACACACAAACACACAAACACACAAACACGCACACACAAACACACAAGCACGCATACATACACACACACATACACATACACATACACATGCACACAAACAAACACACAAACACACAAACACACAAACACACAAACACACAAACACACAAACACACAAACACACAAACACACAAACACACAAACACACAAACACACAAACACACAAACACACAAACACACAAACACACAAACACACAAACACACAAACACACAAACGCACAAACACACAAACGCACAAACACACAAACACACAAACACACAAACACACAGAAACACACAAACACACAGAAACACACAAACGCACAAACACACAAACAAAAACACAAACACAAACACAAACACGCCGCACACAAACACAGACACGAACACGCCCACGCGCACGCCCACGCGCGCGCACAACGCGCATATGCACGCCACGCATACGCACACGGACACGCACACGCACACGCCCACCACACACACACACACACACACGCACACGCACACGGACATGCGCACGCACACGCGCATTACAAGCGCGCGCACGCGCAAGCGCACGCGCACGCGCACGCGCGCGCACGCGCACGCACACGCATACGCCCACGCCCACGCGCACGCACACGCGCACGCACACGCTCACGCGCACGCACACGCGCACACGCAGTTGCGACAGGGGACTTTGGCACAAGCTTTTGCCAGGCGGAGAACGCCCGACTCCCGGTCCTGCGGTCATTGAGGCAGGATCTCGGTGCCGAGTTTTAGCAGTTCGTGCTTTTTTGATGCCATGGGATATGAATACAAGTAAAGTGCCCACTGCTTTGGTTGAATGCTGGGATGCCATGGAAGATTGTGATCGCTTGAGGAGAAGTTGGGGTTCTCCTGGCTGCATGCACGTATGTTTAGCCTCAATTCAGGTGTTATTGCGTTACATTCTGACCAAGCTTCCGTGAAGATTTCGGCAGGTGCTTCCCAGAAATGGGGGGGAGTTCAAGCGTTTAGAGCCTGACATTTTGAGACACCCGCTGATAGATTTCACGTGCAGTTTTTGTGGCCTCTCCTTTTCCGATTATTTGGATCAGGCATGTGGTGTGGTTTGTTCAAAGGTGGTGCAATCCCGTGCTTCCTGCGTGATACGATTCCTGCTCCGGGGCTCTCCGAGGCCTGTGGACCGCAACGGCGCAGAAGTGCCGCAGACCTAGGCATTTGCTTCTCAAAGATAAGGGAAGTTGGTTCAAGGCTTTTCGTAGTGGTTCGGTTCCTTTTGGTTTCCTTTTGGTTTGCCTTTGGGTTCTCTTAAAGGATAGCGACAAATTCGAGCCCGTATGAAGACGAAGGCTTCCGGCTTCCGAAGCCACTTCCAAGGTGAACATGTGTGCTGCAATGGCGATGGACGTTGTTTTCTGGTTTGGGAACGTGTCAACGTGCTGGCCCGCTTCTGGTTCTGAAAAGTGAAAAGAGAAACTATTTGCTAGGGCCATTCATTTTTCCTCCGTCAGATTCGAATCAGAACTTCATTTACACTGGACACTGATGGCTGTCTCTATTGAATCTAATGCTCACTGCAGCCAAAGCCGAACTCCTGTAGTTCACATGAGGCTGCTAAGGTATCCGCAATGTACATGTTTCGTTGGCCCATATTGGCGTATTTTGCGAGCACATCAGAGTACCATAAAAGGAAAATTATATTGACACGCCACAGTACACTTGTTATGATGAGACCTTGTTGGCAACTCCGATTCACACTGAACCCGAACAACACATCCCATTTCTCTCCGCATCACGTAACTAATTGGTTTTAATAGAGTGTTTGCAACAGGGCTAACGTGGCTGTTGACATTTTGCGGCCATGAAGCCAAGTGGAAAGCGCGCACTGCGCTTTGATGGACTTGCGAGTGTTCCCTCCTTTTGTGCGACCCAAGGTGACCTTGCCATGCACATTCTCCGGTGGCATGGTCCAAACAGCCAGTACTGGTTATTGCACTTTCGGGATGGACCACTCGGATTTCTAAGAGAGCCAGGACTATCCCCGTCAGCTCGCCCAAAGGACATGGGGAGCATCCTTGGTCGTCTTTCGGGGTGTTTGGCCGCGCTGCTCAAGGCCACGGCTGCGCTTCACCGCCACCATGGGGAGAGAGCCGCGGGGCACATCCAAATGAGGCTGGCCATAGCGGGGAAGGGCACCACCAAATGAGTTTGGCGCTTTTCTTTTGGTAGATCTGGTGGTTGGGTTTGGTCATGGGAAGTGTAGGTTAACCAGTGCCAACTTTTCTCATTGCGCCTCCCCCCACCGTTTCCGGATGCAGTGATTCTTGTTTGCTCGCAGGTGGTGATGAATCATTTTGTAGTGTCAAACGGCAGCGCATACCATTCTCTTGTCTCAAAGCACGGTCTGTGGTAAGTGTTGCATGTTTTGCCATTCGACCCGTCGACATTTAATAGAAGCAAGATGCATGCCCGTGCAAGTGTTTCTGACACGCGCTGGAGAACCTTGAGCATTCATATTCAT